CCAGCAGGGAGGCAGAAGCAGGCAGATCTCTGTGAGTTCAAGGCCAGCCTGGTCTACGTAGTGAGTTCCAGGACAGCTGGGGCTACAAGGAAACCCTGTCTCTAAAAATAATAAAATATTTAAAAAATAAAATAAAATAAAAATAAAAATTAGAGTAGCCAAGCGTGGTGGCATATGCTTGTCATCCTACCACTGGGAGGCAGATGCAAGTGGATATCTGTGAAATGTAGGCCAGCCTGGGTGACGGCGAGACCTTCTCAAAAAAAACAAAAAAGGAGGGCTGGAGAACTGGCTCAGCAGTTAAGGGTACTGGCTGCTTTTTATTCTGGTCTTTTTTGAGACAGGGTCTCCCTGTAGTCCCGGCTGATCTGGAACTCGCTTTGTAGACCAGGCTGGCCTATTAACTCAAGAGACCCGCCTGCCTCTGCCTCCCAAGTGCTGGGACTAAAGGCAATGCTCCACCACGTCTGGCTCGTACTGGCTGTTCTTACAGAGGACCCAGGTTCAGTTCCCAGCACCTACCCCAGATGGTGGCTAACAACCACCCGTAACTCCAGGTTAACAGGACGCCCTCTTCTGGCCTCTGCAGGCATTACATGACACAAGTGCATGGAAAATCCAGAAAAACCAAGTGCGCACGCTCTCTCTCTCTCTCACACACTCACACTCACACAGTGTCTCTGCATAAAGGATGAAGGTGAGCCCTGATCAGTGCAGACACCTTGGCCATGCCCCTTCCTGGCAGCTAACAAGGGTGACAGATTTGAGCAGGGACAGAAGGATCTGAAAAGAGGAGAGTTGCCCAGGCCCAGTGAAACCATCTCTAATAACTTAGTTTATTTTGGGGGCAACCCCTTGAAGTCAGCTGGTGCCCTGGGTTCCATGTGGTCTCAGTGTGAGGTCAGACACCCCAGACCTGGTACCCTGGTCCCTGTAAAGATGGAGCCTGGTTCTGCCCTAGGACCTGTCAGACACCTCAAGTCCAGCTGGTCCCCAATGCCTGGAAGTTTCCACAGCACTGTCCAGCACGAGGCTGGGAGCACATAAAATATAAGACCACAGCCCTAGCAGCAGCTGGGGAGGGGGGCACTGTGCGTCAGCACCTATCAGGAGAGGCTGAGGGTGGGAAGTAAGTGCAGCCCAGCCTGCTGGGTTCCCTATGTCCTGTGAGTCTCTCAGAGTGGAGACAGGAGGCCAGATGGTCAGAATGAGGGGGGAGGGTACAGACATGCTGCCAGGCAGGATTTGGGGTGAGGCAGGTGCTGAGGACAGAGTCCAGTGCAATGAGAGCAGCAGGTTCGGGCACTGGGCCCAGCTGTGTCCTGGGTGCTGTAGGCAAAGTCCTCAGATGGTATGTACAAGGTACAAGGCACAGCCCTGGTACCTAGGACCCAGGTGATACTGAGGCCTATCAGGTAGTCAGGTGACGGACAGAGTCCAGACCCAAGCCAGTGTGCTGAGTCTGGGTTGGGATTGAGTCCAGGTCACATTCAGGGTACACTGGCACTGTCCCAGGTGCTACTGGGTGGTGTCTCAAGATGGGTTAAGTACCGTCCTATGTGGTGCTGAGTGCTATTCCAGGTGGCACTAGGTGGTTTCCTAGGTGGTGCTGGGAGCTGCCCTGGGTGACTCTTGTGCCCTCAGCTGGTGGTTTAGGGTGGTGGCCGCAGGCGCTCCAGCCCATCAGCGTACTGGAAGGCTGACCCGTTCTCGTACTCATACATGTCCAGAGCTACCTCGCAGCTCTCCCGTACCACACACTCTGGGTCGTTGATGAACTGGCGCAGCGCATCCAGGCAGGCTGGCTGGGCGATGGCACCCAGGGCCTCAGCACACTCGTGTCTCACCATGGGGCTCTCGGAGCTCCGGGCCAGTGTGGCCACCAACTCGGACACGGTGGCCTCATGCTGCAGCTGGCCCAGCACATAGCCCACCTCATGGCGGAAGAGTGCGCTGCCACAGCGCAGGCCTGCAGGATATGGTGGACAGTGCTGGATTCAGAAGGGCGTAAGGGGTCCCCAACTTGGGGGCACAACACCATCCCCAAGGTCAGTGACACCCGGGGATGTTGACACCTGCAAAGAGGGTGGGAGGGCCCTGAGAAGTGCCTGGGTCCCCCAGGGATTCACATCTGCCCCCAGCCTGTGGAAGGGGCTCCAACCAGGTCCACAAGCCCAGGGACCGTCCTCACCTTCGGCCAGCGCTAAGGCTGCTGCCTCACTGCCCACATTGCGCAGGGCAAACATGGCCCTGTACCGATCGAACAGCGGCCGGTCCTCATCCAGCAGTGCCTCCCGAAGTCGCCCTACATCACACTCTTCTGCGGGGGGCGCCGGGTCCACCGACAGGTAGGGTCCGGTCTCCGCCTCTCCGGGATGTTGCTGCAACCACTGCAGCCGCCCCACAGCCAACTGGCATGTCTCAGCCACCTGCAAAGGGAGGGGCAGAGGTGGCCATGGTGTGAACAGATGCTGTGGACACAGGTGGGTGGACATGTTGGGCCGTCCCTACTCTCCTGGGCTCAGAAAGCCCACAGGGAACGGCTTTAGGTTGGAAACAGACAAAGGGGTTGGATGTGATCAGGTACCCAAGGGACAGACGAGGAACCAGGGAGGGCCCAGAGATTTGGGGAGGGAGAGTGGGACCTGTCTGTGCAAAGGCCCCGAGGACCTAGAGAAAGGAATGAGGGTGCCTGAGAAACGGGCTGGGTGGTGGGGACACACCCCGGCATGTGCGACATGAGTCAAAGTAGGACCAAATACGGAACAGGCCGGGCGTGGTGGCACAGCCTGTAATCCCAGCACTGGGGAGGCAGAAGCAGGCGGATCTCTGTGAGTTCAAGCCAGCCTGGTCTACAGAGTGATTTCCAGGCCAGCTGGGGCTATGTGAGACCCTGTCTCAAAAAAGACCAAAAAAGCACAGTCTTCTATACAATGGAGTACTACTGAGCCCTGAAGAGAAGCAAGGCTCGGACACACACCACAGCATAGAGGAATCTCAAGGACAGCATTCAGTGAAAAATCCAGACACAAAGGGCCATACAGGGTAGGCCTCCATGACAGGAAATGCCCAGAACAAGGGAATCCATAGACAGAAAGTGGCTGTGTGGGTGCCAGGGAGGGCACAGGGTGATGGCTAATGCTCACCACTACAGAGACCCAGTGAGCTGGGGGAGATCATCGTGTGGGGCAGTCCTCTTCACCCTCACCCCACCCCCTCCATTCCTAGAGCGCCCATGGCAACCAGATATGGTTTCTAAGTCTGGTCCAGGTAGAGCTGGAAGGAAGGCAGGAAGGACCAGTTGGGGTCTCCTCACCTCAACCACAGGGTCAGTGCAATGCTGCTTCAGGAGTTCTAGAACTTCCAAGTTCCCGATGGCCCCCAGGGCTTCCCCTGAGGAGAGAGGCTGGCTAGTAGGACCGTGCTGGCCAAGGGACTGCCCGGCCTGGGCTAGCACCGCCCCTAGCCACATCTGATTGGTACAGCTGTGAACACAGGCTCCCGACTGGCCCAATTGGAACCCATAGCATACAACTTGGCTAATCCTCCAAGATTCCCACCCAGCCCAAGGCAAGGTGGGAGCCCTCAGTCATAGGCCTACAACCTTCCATGCCTCCCATCTTCCCCAGGGTCAAAGCCCATGTCCTCCCTGCTGCCCACAGGACCTGTTGGTCCCAGACAGGTAGGTGAGGTGGGCAGAATAGGATGCCGGGCTCACCAGCTTCATGGCGCACCATGGGCTCTTGGCTGCTGTCCTGCAGTACATTCACTAGCACTGGGATGGCACGGGAGTCCCGCATCTGGCCCAGGCAGTATGCCAACTCATGTTTCAACAGGGCAGAGCTGTCCTCGAAGCCACGGCTGATCCAGGCAATGCAGTCCGGGCCCCCGAGTCCCCGCAGTGTGAACAGCGCCCGGAAACGGGTCTGCAGGGGCTGCTTGGGGTCCACTAGGACCCTACCAATAGCTTCCACCTCCTGCTCTGTCACCATGGCAACCGCCTCCCCACTGGGTGGTCCACGGGGCTGGGTTCTCTGCAACCAGAACATAGGTAAGAAAAAGAGGGTGAAGCTGGATACTGTGTCCCCCACCTGCCACGGGTGGCTACTGGGGAGGCTGAGGCTGGAGGCTTGCAGGTTCTAGGCCGGGGTGCTTTCTAAAACCTCCTCACCCATCCTTAAAAAGCAAGAGTCTGGGGCTGGAGAGATGGCTCAGCAATTAAGAACACTGGTTGCTCTTGCAGAAGACCCAGGTTCAAATCCCAGCGCCCATATGGCAGCTAACAACTGTCTGTAACTCCAGTCCCAGCAGAACCCACAACCTCTTCTGACCTCCAAGGGCATTGCACGACACAAGTGCACTTACCTGCATGCAGGCAATACACGCATACACATAAAATAAAAAGAAATTTAAAAAATTTTAAAAAAAAGGAATTATTTTTATTTTATGTGTGTGTGTGTGTATTGCCTGCATGTAGGTAAGTGCACCCATGTCGTGCAATGCCCTTGGAGGTCAGAAGAGGTCAGAAGAGGCTGTGGGATCCCCTGGGACTGGAGTTGTGAGCTGCCATGTGGGTGCTGGGATACGAACCTGGGTCTTCTGCAAGAGCAGTCAGTACTCTTAACCACTAAGCCCTCTCTCCAGGATATGTGTGTGTGTGTGTGTGTGTGTGTGTGTGTGTGTGTGTGTTCTGTGAGTTCAAGGCCAGCCTGGTCTACAAAGTGAGTTCCAGGTCAGCTGGGGCTATAGGGAGACCCTGTCTCAAAAAGGACCGCCCCCCAAAAAAAGACAGTGTTTCACTATGTAGCCCCAGCTGGCCTCCATCTCACACAGATGCCTCTGCCTCCCAAGTGCTGAGATTAAAGGCGTGAGTCCCCAAACCTGGCCCAGCTTTGTTATTTGAGACAGGAACTCCCTCTGTAGCCTAAGCTAGCCTGGAACTGACCAGGGACAACATGTGTGGTCCTGAGTGGGCTAGAACCTTCCTGAGGAGGTTCCACAGGGAGGCTCCACATGGCCTGGGAACCAGAAGTCCTCAGTCCCTTTGCTGTTGCTCTGGGTCAGTGGGGAAGTGGGTCAAGTGGGTCTCATTACTATTTAATGACTGCCACCTCCCACACACCTGTTCAGGAGCCCTTCCATTTTCAAGGGGTGACTGGCCTTTGATGGGCATTGCAACTGACATCACATCTCCCTCATCAGACCCAATAAATGGCCTGCAGCCTGTCACAACTTGTTTGTCCTGTTTGTGGCACATCCTCCAGGTTCCCTGGAGGCCAGCCTCAGCTGTAAGATCATGTGCCTAGCACACACCCTGGACCTGGGTTCGATTCCCAGCACCCACATGGCAGCTGACAACTGTCTGTAACTCCAGTTTTTGGGGATCCAATGCCCTCTTCTGACCTCTGCGGGCATTGCACGACCTAGGTGCACTTAAATACATGCAGGCAATACTCTTACACATAAAATTTAAAAAAAATGTATATATACACACACATACACACACACACACATCTATACGTATGTATATAAAATAAGGCTGGCACAGTGGGAAGAGTGCTCGCCTAGCATGCAGGAAGCCGGGTTCATCCCCAGAATCACATGAACTGGGTGTGGTGGCCCACTGCTGACATTCCAGCACTAGTGAGGGGGAGGCAGGAGGATCAGGGGTTTGGAGTCATCCTTGGCTACACAGGAAGCCTCTGAAACAAATAAACAATTAAACAAGCAAGTATACATCAAAAGACTGGAAACTAGGGGCTCACTGGTTAAGAGTACTGGCTGCTCTTGCAGAGGACCCAGGATGAGTTCCCAGCACCCACATGGTGGCTAACAGCTGCTCATAACTCCAGTTCCAGCGGAATCCGACGCCCTCTTCTGACCTCCACGGGCATTGCACAACACGGGTGCACTTACATGCATGCAGGCAATACACTCATACACATAAAATAAAAATAAATACAAAAATATTTTTAAAGGACTGTAAACTAGACACCCATTTCCCCAAACATGGGCGCTTCAAATGTGACTCCTCCATGAGTCTCAAGATCCCCGAAAACTGGCTCCCAAGCCCATGCACCCCAAACTCCAGATCCTCTTCCCTGAGTCCCCCCAGTAGCAGACCTACGCAAGCGGGTGAACGATGGGCCCCGGGGGGCCAGACCCGCATTCACTGGCTTCCCAGATTCTCCACCAAAAGGAGGCAAACTCTTGAAAACCGCCTGTGGAACCCGATGTCCCGGGCGCGGGGCCAGTCCGGACCACTCGACACGGCCCGCGGGCGGCCAGTCCCTACGACCGGAAGCGCCCCCGCGGAAGCCCTACCGCACCCCGTGCACCACCCAGGAGTCTCCGCACCGTGCTGTCTGCCGCGGAGAAACCTCCCTGAGCTCCCGGATGTCGGCGCGGACCGCGTTAACAACAGCACAGGAAACCGGAAACGACTCAGCAGCCACCACGCCGCCGGGCGCAGCGCTCACTGGGCGCAGCCATCCTGGCTCTCGCGGGACCTAGCCGGGTGATACCAACGCCGCCGCGCGGGGGGATAGCGTCACAGGACCGCGCGGTAGAGGTCCCAGTCAGCAGCAGTGACAACTGGAACCAAAACAACGGAGTCGTCCTGCGGACTGTCCTCGGAGAACTGGAGAAGCAGCTTCCGCTTTCTACGGAAGAATCTTCTTTTCGGCTTCCCCCCGTGTAGAATAAAATGGTTTATTACGACTCAATGGTCACGTGCAGACCGCTAGCAAGCGACATGCGCAGCGTCTGGTGGTGGGCGGGCTATGGCTCAAGGGAAGTGGGCTTCTGCTTTAAGACCCCTACACACTCCTACCCGCGAGCGCCCAAAAAAACCTGGGGGAAACCTGTGAGGAACAATAGATCAAATACTAGTGGGGGTGGAGGCGATGGCTATGCGAGTGAAGGCTCTTGGTGCCAAACCTGAGGACAGTTGTTTGATCCCGAGGGTCCCACATACTGGAAGGAGAGAATTGACTATCGCAAGTTGTCCTCTGCCCTCCACTCATTTTCTTTAAATTTTTACAAAAACTATTGAGAATTTCATACATGCATATAAGGTGTTTTGATCAACTACATGCCCACTCCCCCTCCTCCAACATTGCCCCCTCTGAAGAGGTCTTCCACTCATTTTTTTATGGACCGGTTTTTGGGAGTTTCGACCCATACACGAACACAAAATAAATTTTAAAGTATTTTTTAGACTGTTGCACGACACGGTACACTTACATGTGTGCAAACAAAGCATGCGTACACATAACAATAGAGGCTGAGAGTTGGCTCGGCGGGTAAGAGCACTGACAGCTGGAGTTCATGTTTATGAGAAGCTTCTGGAGGGTGACCTGCTGTGACTACAACAGGGCGGGTGCCAGGTGTGGTGGCCACAGAAGAAGGACAGGCCCAGGGTGCGGGAAGCAGATGGGGCGGGGGTGGGGGTGGGGGTGTCAGACTGCGTTTGGCTGGAGGCCCAGACAGTCCTGGGAGGAACTGATAGGTAAAGCTGCACAGGCCTCAGCAGCTTGACTTCCCTTCTGCAGCTGCCTCACCCCAAGTCCATGGGTGGCCAGGAGGTTCTTGTCCATGTGGCCCTAGGGCCATCTTCTTGTGGAAGCTTCCACAGCCTTCTTCCTGGTTTCAGCTTTGTTGCTCAGCTAATACCCCTTGGCTTGTGGCCCCATCACTCCGACCTATCAGCACATGAAAGTTTTGTTGATTGTTTTCTCCCTATAGGGCCAGCTGGGGCCTGGAATGCCCTATGTAGCTGGGGATGACCGTGAAATCCTGATCCTCCTGCCTCCACCTTCCAAGCAATGGGATGACAAAAGTGTGCCACATCGTCAAGGTATCCCCATTTTATAGCTGTGTCAGAGCCCTGTTCCTTTTCATTGGTGTGTGATGTTCCACTGTGTAAGTGGACTTTGCTCCCTTCCCTAGAGTGTGTGTGAAAGAAGTGGGTGTCAACATATGTGTAGGAGTTTCTGTGTCCACATAGGTGTTTACTTCTCTTGGGCAGATCCACAAGGTTGTTATTGCTGTATCATATGACTATTCTGTGTTTACATTATTGAAGAACTGCCAGGCACTGTGCCCTTTCAAAATCTGCCCAGCAGTACAGAACGTTGGGTGAATGGTTCCTATTTCCTCACACCCCTGCCCAAGCATGCTTTCTTCCATTCTCCCTAGGTCTCATTTGTTTTCTTTGAAGCAAAATCACACTAGTATGTCACTGAGTTGCATAAGGTTTTTGTTTGGTTCCTTTTTTTGTCTTTTTGAAACAGTCTCCTTGTAACCCAGGCTGGCCTAGAACTCACAGAGATCCACCTGCCTCTGCCTCCACAGTGCTGGGGTTAAAGGCCTGTGCCAACATACTAGGCTGTGTCTCTGATATTTTTATTGCATTTCCATAAACAATTCCAGAGCTGTGCATATACCCCAGGTCATTTGCAGATCCTTCAACAACCAACTATACAGACCCTTTGCCTCTTTTTTCCCCATTGAGCTAAACCCCAGCTCACTCTTTGCTTATAAATATGTTTTTAGCCGGGCATGGTGGCACATGCCTTTAGTCCCAGCACTTGGGAGGCAGCTGGCCTGGAACTGGCTATTAAGCCCAGGTTGGCCTCGATCTCTCAGATATCTGTCTGCCTCTGCCTCTGGGGTGCTGGGATTGAAGGTGTGTGCCATCAACCCCAGCTGTTACATATATTTTTGGGCCAACGCCTTCATGTGGCATATTCCCAGCTGTAATCTTTAGGGAATTCTGGGAGTACTCTACTGAGTAGATCAGTACAATCAACACACAATCAACGTTTTCCTGAAGTTGAGGGGTGTCTCATGCCTGTTATTCTAGCAATGGAAAAACTGATGCTGGAGAATTGCTTCCAGCTCCAGGTCAGCCTGGACTAAACAGATCCTGTCTCAAAAAAAAAAAAAAATAATGAATAAATGAATTGAATGAATAAATGATAGTGTCAGTGCATGGGCACCATCTGGGGTTGTTACATGTGGTGACTGCAGATAAGTAAATGTTTTTTGAATGAATGAATGAGCCCCAGGGTGGCCGTGTCCCTGACTCAGCTCTACGCAGTCATGCATCCCAGATCCAGCAACAATCATCATACAGGAGCCACGCCCTCCTCAGAGCCGGGTCATTAGTTATTTTCCCCATTCCACCCTCTTTGCTTGCTCAAACCTTCCTTAGGTCTACTACCGACCGCGGTTGCCCCAGGCAACGCGTGCCGCCTGGCTTCCTGTATTGATTTGAATCCTGAAGGACGTCCCATCCTCCCGAGCTGCTCCGCGCCAGGTCGTGCAGGCGCACTTACGCTGAGTGGGAGCGAGCACCGCCCAGAGTAGGCGTGGCGCAGGCGAAGTGAGGGGCATGTCCAAGAGCGCCCGCCGCGAAGGGGGTGGGCCCCCGCACTATGTGGGCGTGTCCTGGAGGCGTGTCCTCTGGGTGCGGTACTGGGCGGGACGGTGGGAGGGGCGTAGCTTCCTGACGTAGGAATGTGGCGCCACTGGCGGTTGGTGCGTGCGCTGTGTGGGGCGTGTTATGGGCTTGAATGGGGCGTGGCTTCTGTGTCCCGGGCCGGGGCGGTGTTGGGGGCGTGTTCAGAGGTGTGGTTGTACCGGCTGGGCGTGCCTTGCGCTGGGGGCGGGGCTTGCACTGGCCTGGGGGCGGGGCCTGGGCGCGGGGCCGGGCGCGGACGCGCGCGCGGCCTGCGGGGCGGACGGAGGAGCCGGGCGCCGCCATATTAGCGACCGCGGAGACCGGGGGATTGCCGTGAGCGGCGGCGGCGGAGCCCGACCGAGCGGTGTGGTCTCGGGGTGGGCGCGGCGCCTTCCTGGGACCGGCGGGAACCGGCGGGCACCGGCGGGCGACGGGAGCGAGGCAGGTGAGGACGCCTGCGACGCGGGGACCCGCCCCCCGGTGGACCCCATCCTTCCCCCAGGACAGCGACAGGCTGAGTTTGAACCCCGCATCCCAGAGACACCCCGACACCCGTCCTGTCCATCACAGGCTTGATTTTACCCAGAAGCCCGCTGGGAACTGTGCACCCCCAAATCCAGGGCATTGCCCTCCATCTGCTTCCCCAAAGTGCATTCTTCCCCGATTCCCAAGTCAGGTCTGTGTCAACCAGAACCGACCCTCCTGCACCTGGCGACCTCGCCCTGACCTCACTAGTCCATCACCTGGTCAGAACCCCGCTGAGAGCCATGCACTCCCAACTTCTGGACGTTCCTCCCCAAGCTGCTCCCCCAAGCCCCCAGAACTGCAAACTCACCCACATCATCCTAGCCCTAACCTATCTGCATTCGGGGACCTCACCCTACCCGTCACTGCTTGCTGTCCTCTATAGAACCCCTCTCTTAGACATGTACCCCCAAATCCCGAGAATCCTTCCTCGTGCTGCTCCCTCAAAATCCCAGTACTACAAACCCAAGGCCCCTGCACCCCATTGACTTCCAAATCACAGTCCCTCTACTTCAGACCCTCCTCACATACAAGCTGCACCCTCAGATCTGAGTCACCCCCATAAAATGCAATCAGAAACCAGGAAACCCGGAAACGATGATCCTCAGATTGCTGGGATCTTCTCTGTGTGGGAGTCACCTTTGGATGCTGCGGTCACAGAGTAGGGTGGCCATTGTCCGCCCTGTCCTCCTGGTTCTGACAGGTACATTGACTGGCCCATCCAGCATCCAGGTGTTTCCCATCTCAGGGGAGACCCAGCCTGAACCCCCAAGTGTGTTTTGTGTGTTCCCAAACTTGTGGATCTGAAACTCCACTCTCCACAAGTGCAAGCCCAGGCTCCTCCTGACCTCCATAGATCCCAGGACTCAAAGCTGCCCTCTCTGTGGAATGCTCTAGAATCAACCTGTCTCCAGACTCTCCAGACACACCCTTGTATAGATGCCTCACTGAACCTGTTTTGCTTTTTCTCCTCATTTCACACCCAAAATTCATCCCCTCCTGAAGGATGCCTTAGTGGGAAGCGGGTCCTTGTACCCTGGTCCTCCCAAGAGAGGGAGGGCTGACTTCATTTCTCCTTCTGAGGACCACCCCCGCCCCTGTTTCCTGCTGTTTGAATGAAGATGATTCCCCAGCAAAAAAATTCACCTAGCCCTGGGGATCCATTGGGCTTGGAAAGGAAGGGTGTTTGGTGGCTCCGTCTCTCGTGGGGCTGTGTTGGCAGGTGTTGTGAATTGATGGGGTCCCCTCGGGCTTCACTGTACTTGAGGAACGCATCCCAGGATTTCTGTGGGTTACTGGCTGCTGGCTAGGGTGTGAGTTGGGTCGTGTTTGGCAATAAGAGACTTTGTGATTCCTCAGAATAGTGGATCAGGAGCTGAGCCTGCCCTGCAGAAGTTGTGTCGTGTGGTGCTGGGGATGGAGCCCAGGGCCTTTGCATAGGCTAGACAATAGCTCATAATACATTTAGGCCCCCAGCCTCTCACTGGGGGATTCTAGGCTGTCACTCTACCCCTGAGCCAAGTCCCTAGACCCTCACTGGGGATTCTAGGCTCACTCTGCCTCAGAGCCATGCCCTCTTTCTCTCTCTCTTTTTTTTTTTTTTTTTTTTTTTTTTTTTTTTTTTGTCTTTTTTTGAAATGGGGTCTCCTTGTAGCCCCAGCTGTCCTGGAACTCATTATGTAGCCCAGGCTGGCCTTGAACTCACAAAGATCTGCCTGCCTCTGCCTCCCAAGTGCTGGGATTAAAGGTGTGCGCCACCACGCCGGACCAGCCCTGTCTTCTTAAAAAAAAAAAATTTTTTTTTTTTTTTTTGGACTAGGAATGATGACACAGGCCTTTAACCCTATCACTCAGGAGGCAGAGGCAGAGGCAGGTGGATCTCTGTGAGATTGAGGCCAGCCTGGGCAACATAGCAAGTTCCAGATCACCTGGGGCTATAGGGAGACTCTGTCTCAAAAAAAAGTTTGTTTCTGGTGCATGTGGTATAAACACGTGTGCAGGTGAGTGCACACAGGCAGAGGACTATGTCCCTTGTTCCACTCTCACCTTAATCCCTTGAATAGGGTTTCTCACTGAACCTGGAGCTGGGCTGGTGGTAGGCCAGTTCTAGCCATCCTCCTATCTTAGTCCCCCACTACTTGGGGGTTATGGGCACGTGCGTAGCTGTGTCTGGGCTTTTCCACGGGGGCTGGGGATTCAAACTTGCGTCCTCACCCTTGCACAGCAAGTACTCTGACCAGCTTAGTCATCTCCACAGCCCTTTTTTTTTCAATTTTTTTTTTTTTTTTGGTCTTTATGTGTACACATGTATTGCCTGCATATAGGTAAGTGCACCCATGTCATGCAGTGCCCATGGAGGTCAGAAGAGGCTGTTGGATCCCCTGGAACTGGAGTTAGAGGCCATGTGGGTGCTAGGATTCAAACCTGGGTCTTCTGCAAGAACAACCAGTGTTCTTAACCGCTGAGCCATTTTTCCAGCCCCTCCACTGCCCTTGTTTTTTATTGAGCCAGGATCTTAGTAAGTTGCCCAGGCTGGCCTTAAAGTCACTGTGTAACCTAGGCTGGCCTGGGATTGTCAGTCCTCCTCCTCCCTCAGCCTGCACAGCAGCCAGAATCCCAGGGGGCTTTGTAAGGATGCAGGCTGTCCCTCCTCAGGCTGCAGCTCTGCAGGACCAGGGACATCCCAGTGTATGAGGCACTCTGCTGTCACTGTTTCCAAACACAAACCTCAGAAGCACCCTGGCTGGGGACAGGAGCAAACATACACAGGCGGGACCCCAACATCACCGTGCCAGGTGTGATGTACACAGCTGTCATCCCAGCACTCAGGAGGCTGAGACAGGAGGATCTTGAGTTCGAGGTCAACCTGGGCTACTGTGAGATTGTCTCAGAAGGGAGGGAGGGAAAGAGGCTGGTAGGTCCTCAAAGGTGGGACTTGATGGTCCCTCTGCTTTGAGGCTGGACAGTCATCCCTGGTTCCCCTGCTGGGGGCTGGTGGGACTAGCACTCCATCCTTACCGGGGCCCAGTGGCCTCCACCTGTCCCTGACCTGGCCACATGTCACCTGTCCTGCACAACTGCCCAGGGCCTGCTTTGGGGAGCTGTGAGCACAGAGCCCCACAACCACAGGTCCAGGGTGCCACACCCTGTCTCAGAGCCCTACTTGGCTTCCGAACTTGCTTTGTGGTTCAGCCATTGGGTGTGACCAGTCCTCCCCCTTCATTGAGCACCTTAATGGGGGGGGGCTTTTAAAAATTATTTTTTAGCCAGATGTGGTGGTGTAACTTTAGTCCCAGAACTTGGGAGGCAGAGGTAGGCAGATTTCTGTGAGATCAAGGCCAGCCTAGTCTCCATAGAGAGTGCCAGGCCAGCTGGGCCTATAAGGAGACCCTGTCTCAAAAAGACCAAAAAAAATTTTTTTTATTTTTTTGTTATATGTGTATGTCTGTATGCCACATGCATGCAATGCCTGCAGAGGCCAGAAAATGATGTCAGATCCTCTTGAACTGGAGTTAATGGATGGTAGTTAGCTGCGATGTGGGTGCTGGGAACTGACCCTGGGTCCTCTGCAAGAGCAGCCAGTGCTCTTAACCTCTGAGCCATCTATTTAATATCATAATTTTTTCTTTAGTTATTTTTTAAAAATATTTTATTTATATTTTTATTTTATGTGTATGCATGTATTGCCTGCATGTAGTTAAGTGCATCCATATCATGCAAAGCCTGCAGAGGACAGAAGAGGCTGTCGGATCCCCTGGAACTGGAGTTACGGATCGTTGTTAGCTGCCATGTGGGTGCTGGGATTCAAACCTGGGTCTTCTGCAAGAACAACCAGTGTTCTTAACAGCTGAGCCATCTCTCCAGCCCCTCTTTAGTTATTTTTTTGAGACAGGGTCTCCTTGTAGTCCCAACTGGTCTGGAACTCGCTATGTAGCCCAGGGTGGCCTTGGTCTCACAGAGATCCGCCTGCCTCTGCTGTGTGCCACCACACCTGGCTTCAGTCTCATGATTCTTTCCATTTATTTGGTTTTTTACTTGTGTGTGAGTACACAGTTGGAGATCCGAGGACAGCTTACAGGAGGTGGTTTTCTCCTCCCACGACATAGGTTCTGGGACTCAAACTCAGGTCCTCAGGCTTGGTGACCAGCCCCTTTTCCCACTGGCCTCTCCCTGACCTTCTTCCCTTCCCTTTCCTTCCTTCCTGCCCTCTTCTGAGGTGCTGCGGATGGACCCAGGCCTTGTCATGCAGTGTGTGCTGAAAGCCCCCTGCTCATCTGTCACCATGATCACTCTCCCAGGGTGGATTTGTCCCTGGCACTTCTGTGTTTTGACCACCATGAGGTGTTCCCCTCCAAGCAGGGTAGCTGCTCCTGGGAAAGGGGTGGGTAGTATGTGGAGGCTGGAGGCTGAATTTACTAGGAGGCAGGGGACCCAGGGACAGGTTGCCACTTGGCTCGGTAGCCCTAGAGACCACCCTTCACCTCAAGATTGCTGGGGACAGGTGACACTGAATGATGTCTGGGGACAGATCCTTGTGAGCAGAAAGCTGCAGGTGCGGAGTGGTTGGAGGCTGGGAGCACCGCTCAACACCCTACAGAGCCCTGCGTAATCCCCAGATAGACCTGGCCCCTGGGCTCCACGTGGGACCACAGTGGCCAACAGGGCAGCCCTCTTGGTACCTGGTACTGCCTGGGTCCCTGTTTTCTCTGTGAGGACCCAGGCCTTCAGGCGCAGGTCTCCACAATGCAGTCCCTCTCTGTGGTGCTGCAATATTGTCACCACTGGACATAGAGCCCTGTAGGGACAGCTCTGCAGGGTGGTGACCACTGTCTAGAAGCTGGCTACTCGCACAGGGTGAGCCTGGAACCTGCAGAGTGGGTTGATGGATGCATGGATGGGCAGATGGATTGGTGGATGAGTGAATGGGTAGAAAAAAATGGGAGGATGGGTGGATGGATGCATGGGTGGATGGATGGATGGGTGGATGGATGATGGGTAGATGGGTGGATGGATGGGTGGATAGATGGATGATGGGTGGATAGATGATGGATGGGTGGATGGATGGATGATGGGTGGATGGATGGATGATGGATAGATGGATGGGTGGATGGATGGATGGGTGGGTGGGTAGATGGATGGATGGGTGAATGGATGGATGGATGGATGGGTGGGTGGATGGATGGATGGATGGATAGATGGATGATGGGTGGATGGATGGATGATGGATAGATGGATGGGGGGATGGATGGATGGGTGGGTGGGTAGATGGATGGATGGGTGAATGGATGGATGGATGGATGGGTGGGTGGATGGATGGATGGATGGATAGATGGATGATGGGTGGATGGATGGATGATGGATAGATGGATGGGGGGATGGATGGATGGGTGGGTGGGTAGATGGATGGATGGGTGAATGGATGGATGGATGGATGGGTGGGTGGATGGATGGATGGATGGATAGATGGATGATGGGTGGATGGATGGATGATGGATAGATGGATGGGGGGATGGATGGATGGGTGGGTGGGTAGATGGATGGATGGGTGAATGGATGGATGGATGGATGGGTGGGTGGATGGATGGATGGATGGATAGATGGATGATGGGTGGATGGATGGATGATGGATGGGTGGATGGATGTTGGATGGGTGGATGGATGGATGGATGCTGGATAGATGGATGGAGGGGAGGGGTGGATGGATGGATGGGTGGATGGATGATGGATGGATGGGTGAATGGATGGATGAGTGGAGGGATGGGTAAATTGATGAATGGATGGATGGATTGATATGCGGGTGGATGGATTAATAAGTGCATGAGTGTATGAGTGGACGGATGGATGATGGATGGATGGATGGATGGATGGGGGAAGGGATGGGTGAATTGATGAATCGACAGATGGATTGATATGTGGGTGGATGGATAAATGAATGGATAAGTGTATGAGTGGATGGATGGGTGGGTGGATGGATGGATGGATGATGGAGGGATGAGTGGAAGGATGGGTGAATTGATGAATGGATGGATGGATTGATATGTTGGTGAATGGATGGATGAATGGATGAGTGTATGGGTAGATAGATGGGATGATGAATGATGGATCAATGGGTGGATGGGTATGTCCACCATCACACTGGGTATTTCTTGTCCTTGTGGGGGGCACCAGGCTTGGTGGAGGTGACTCACTCACAGAGTGACTCCAGGCACCAGAGCAGCTGCAGCATCCTAGGATTCCTAGCTGGCAGGAGAGGTCAGGCTGCAGCCACTGTCCCCTGGCTCTGTGTCTGGGATGTTGGGGGCCAGGGCAAGGCCCTGGTTCCCATCCAGAGTTGGCCTCCCTATGTGATGGGTCCCTTGTGTGTTGAGGCCAGACCCTTAGTGTTCCTTCCCCAGCAAGCTTAAGCATTCCATCCCTTCTCTCTTGAGGGAGGTGATAGGTGGCCAGCTGGGGACCTGTCGTGTTCCTGTCACCATCAGTTATGATTAGAACCTTCTTTGGGTCCAGTTCATACCATTCTGAGACCCTTTGCCCTGTCCCCAGCTCCACAGAAGAGCCTGAAGTCCCAATGGTGAAGCTGCCCTGGACTCCTACACACCTGCTAGAACGTTCCAGTGTTTTGCTGTGTGGGAGTGAGGGGCTGCCAAGGTGGTCTGAGTTCATTTCCAGCTCTGCCCCCTAACCCTTCAGAGCCTCTGGCCAGGACTGTGGATTAGGGCAGCGCAGGGATGCTGGATGACCCTGCTCTCTGAGGGTGTATCCAAGTCTCCCAGAGAAGCGTATGGGATCACAGTGACACTAATAGATGTTTGTCTCACAAGGACTTGGGGTACAAGTGAGAGAGTAAAGCAGGATCCCCCAGATCCTGGGATTCAGCAAGTTGGTCATACCCTGTGTGGGGCCTGTGTCATCAGGACTCCCTACCCTTGGCCCCAGAGGGTATCTGATGAACATGTGAGCTCTGTGACAGAACAGCTGGTCTCCGGTTGAATGCGGGCCCTGGGCTCCTAGACCCTGTCCCCAAACAAGTGGTCATTGCAGACCTTAGCCCAGTAGCCCAGCTGAATGCAGGGTCCATGCATTGCTGTCCCCTGAGGTACCCACACTGTAGAGCCTCCCGGGCCTCCTGTCCCCGTGTGTGTCCTCAGGGTAGGTGACATGTTCCAGCTCAGCTCTACCTACCTGGTTGCCCACTGCCCAGGCCACTGTCCCTAACCCTGTCCTGCGATAAGATCATCAGCCTTCAGGGGCATCTCAGGTTGAGGCTGAGGCATGAGGTAGGCGACGCTCTCTGCCGCCTTCCCGCTACGCCTTGCTACGGGGACGGCTGCTGTGGCTCTCCTGTTGTCAGGACTCTCCTGACCCTGGGGACACTGGGTGACATCTGGGGACAGGTGTGGCTGTCAAGACTCAGAGCTTCTGGTCTGGAATGGGTAGAGGCCAGGGATGCCACTCAGCACCCACAGAAAGTGACCAGGGGTCCCTTTCTCAGTCAGATGGCCACGTGCAGTGTGCAGTGGGTCCCCAGGCTCTGTTACTGGATGTACCTCTCCTTGTGTTCTTGACATGCTCAAGCTGTGGGGACCAGTTTTTCAAGATCTGCGGCCCCTGCACAGCACAACCGGCTGGAGCTCCTGCCCCTGGGGGACTTCCTTGTGGCAGGAGCCCAAGGGCCATGTCTGCCCAGTGTCCAGCTAGAGGACCGGTGTGCAGATGGACACCTGTGACATCATCCATGTAGAGGATGGTGTAGGGTGACAGGAGTGTTTGAGGTGGCAGCATGCCTTTCTGCCCCCCCCCCAAGCTTGCATCAGCCTCACCATTAGCCTTGTGGCATCACATGGCCCTGTGGATGCCACACTGTACTGGCTGGGGTGTTCAGGGGCGAGGGAGAGGGCGTGTCACCA